TAGGCGTAGCAAATTGTTTAAGTTGACAGAGCTGATGTAATGGGCTGCACGTGTTGCACACTCAGCGTTATCTCCATCCTGTAACAATCAAGCCGTAAGCCTGCTTTATGGTCTCAGCAGTGTTTAGAGAACGTGACTCGCATCTGGCCTTTGATGTTCTCCTCTCTATGCTGCAAGCGTTTGACGTGATAACTGGAACCTGGTCCTCACTTTAAGAAGTGGCCTCAGGCCTTGGACGCCCCTCAAAGAGGAGGCGTCGGCGGCTTAAATGCTAGCCACCCCCTCTACCAGCAACAGCCCTGTAGTTTGATTGGATGATGGGTGCCAGTGACTCCACACTGAGGACCACCAGTTTTATTAAACAGCTCTTCCTGTTTGTGCGTTCAGCAGGACAGAGAAACGAGCATAAAAAGAAATTGTCTGTTTGTTCCTCCTCTGGGAGCTGAAACCACGAGGCTGTGATGATGAATGGCGTTTGTTCTGTAGACCGTTACGGAGAAGGCGAGTGCGACGACTCGCCCACCCCGCCTGCAGATATATGTAGAGAATAAGGCTTTGTTGAACTTTCCCAGTTTACCCTGCAGAGCCTGTGCATGTGAGGCTTGTGTTTACGCCTGTGACGTAGGTTGAGCGTGGCCGTACGCTTTAAAAGTAACCGCTCTGATCAAAGGTACTCGGGCAGGGGAAGGCCCTCGGGGCGCTCGGGGGAGGAGGAGGGAGGAACATTAAAGGCTATGAGGATAAAACAGGAGACGGCGACTCTCCTGGGAGAGAGGGAGACGTGAGGAAGCCATGCCGACTGCTGGGAGGATGAGGATGGTACAGAGTAACAGTGAGGCTGTGGCTCTGTGCACATGTGGGAACAGCGTTGTTACTGCTCAGAGCAACACTGTTACAGGAGTTTCATTACTGAGGGAGGAGCTGGGGCCACATGGTAAACTAACACAGAGCTCTCACACAAACATGCTTCAGTGGGAGTAAACGCGTGGTGCCTCGCCAGAAGACATGAACTGCTTCCTGTTTGTTTCCTGTTTGCTTCCTCCTTCCTCTCACTGTTGCCTCAGATTACAGGACATCAGGCCGCCCACAGCACAGCGTCAGTGTTTCTGCCAGTGGGTTGTAACCCAGCTGACTGCCATGTTTGTTTCAGATCATCAAGCATGCACGTAGACCGGGATCAAACCACCAACCTCTCGATGACCTGTAGATGACCTGCTCTACCTCCTGAGCTACAGCCACGCCCACGTGCAGTTTTTAAATGGGGATTTCACTTATATGGGAAAAGGTTTCCCACACCTACCTGGCCTGTGTGGAGACGTAACGCCTCCTGTTAGTCCAGGACATGGTCCACTGTACAGTCACACAGTGGCTCTAATGCTTTGGTTTCTAAATGGAACAAATACGAGTGTTATTAGTGCTCGTGTCCGATTTGGAAACTGTTTGTTCCAAACTAGGCCAGCTGTTTCCTCCTGGTACCTGCTGGCTTCAACTTTACAGTAGCACTACACAGATCTCAGCGACGCGTGAGGTTCTTGTCTAAGAAATTTAGAGCGATAGTTAATCTGCAGTAATCCTGTAGACAACACACTCCCTGAAAAACCTTTGTTTTTGGTCGTTTGGCTTGAAACAGCCACATTACAAGGATAAACCAGCAGCACCGGCCTCAGAACGCTTTAATCCAGCTAATCCAGCCAGTAGGTGAGACCGAGAGGGTGGGTGCAGGCTGGAGACGTCCTTCACAGCCCCCGTGGTTGGAGTCTGGGTGACTTGACCCAGCACCAACACTCTCCTAAAAATCTCACGTGTGGGATTTAGACTGCATGCACACCCATCTGATGCTGCAGCTTTGGCACATTTAAGCAGATTATCAAAGCTGCAGTTTATGAATCAAAGGCGTGAATTTGCTGTGAAATGTGTCAAAATCTGTCATCATGAAAGGAAAGTTTGCCTCCTGCAGATGTTGGTTTATGTGACCAGTACAAGCTGTGTCTGTGATGGTCGTTGGTGGTGTCAGATTTGGGACTTTGTTTTGTGTGTCCTGGTGACGCAGCAGGGCACACAGGCAGGTTTAAGCATTCACTAAAATAGAAACGCTTAGATGTATAAAAAATCTATTTGAGGCTCGGCTCCATGGACTACGATCCTTTACCTGAGTCACAGGATGAAGGTTGACACGTGAATAACTTCACTGAGGTTCCCCGTGAGCCAGCATACACAGGACAGACGCTACGAAGCACAAATGTCTGAGAACACGTGAGACTAACAGTCAGCTGTGCAGCAGCAGAACTGTGACACGTACAGGCGAGGACCTGAGATGCCAGACTGATTCAGGAAAATCATCACAAAGCTGACATGTAAAATCAGGAGCTTCACCCACATGCACTCGTTAGTGTAGTTACTGTAACAGTGCAATGGCGTCATTGACTTTGAGACGTCAGGATCTGATTATAAATACCAAGCAGCTGACCTCTAATGACAGGAGCCCGACCCGGCTGCAAATACATGTTTAGCAGTACTCTGTGCTACAGCTAGCCTTTGTGGCTAGCCTCGTACTGTTCCCTTTATGTAGCGAGTGGGTTTTATTTCCTGTGAGTGTCATTGATGGATGTTTGTTTATAATGGTCTCCGTGGACGTTGTTGTGGAGGTCCTGCATCATCTCCAGCCCTGTCAGCGTGGAGGGGACCAGCGTGATGTTACGGCGTGATGTTACGGCGTGATGTTACGGCGTGCCGGAGACTCTTTAAGTCTGTGTTTCAGCCATGCTGTTGGCACTTGGTGTTTGTCTGATTTTGCTATGTGTCCATCATGAGAGCAAGTAAACCCTTTTCCCAACATCAGATTTGTAAAACCAGTTTCAGATTAATAGTGGGAGAAGTTCTTTTGCATTGATTAAACTTGGGACGTCCTTCTTAGTCATTTGCTGGTCCAGATGAAAAGCTCTCCATGTTGTAAATGTGCTGCTGTGACTGTGTCCGGCCGGGACATGAGTGTTGGACATGTAGGGCTCTAATTAACACACTGACCTGCTGTACCACCTCCGTCCTTCTCAGCCAGCTCAGAGACGCCTCACAGCTGCTAAAGATGTCTGCAGACAGACTTGGACACAAGTGGGCGACTTCTGTGAAACAAGCCCAGAAAAATGGGATTCACAGAAATCTGTCCACAGCTGATTGAGAGCATCTTAGGCCCAGTTTGAAGCTGATTTATGTGGAAGACTGTGTGACGCTGCTCCTCATCCAGGTTGGCTTGCAGTCAGACAGCTTATGAACCCCAAACAATCTAACCTTTGTGTAGATTCAAGCAGATGTTGAGTGGGAGGCCTGGTGTAGGTTTTGGTTTGAAGTTTTCTGGTGAACGTACAGCACTGCTGCACAGCCCAGAGGGGTCTCGTACTCCCACTCACTCAGTTACAAGCTAAGCTGGTCCCAGATTCCAGGTTAACACTAACGGGGGGCTGTAGCTCCTAATCGTGCAGATGCTCATACTGCAGCATGAGGGGGAAAGACGCACCAAAGCTCATTACTGTGGCTGAAACTGCTCGGCTTGCCGAGTGTTCCAGATCGGCTCTGAATGAGATCACAAGAACACAAAGTGTGTCACTGAGTTTCTGGTAAAAGATTGGTTGGAGATTTTGAAACACTGGTTGGTGTTTTGTTGCCGGCTGCCGCCCTCGTCTGCAGCAGAGGGCTTCCACAGCAGTAGATATTTGGGTGGGTGACCTGAGCCCACACAGTGACAGCTGACTGCCACAGAGAGGTTGTTTCAAGCAGTGCTAGCTGTTTACTGTAAGGCCAGGGAGCTCAAAAATAAAGTGGACTGCATTATGTACTGTGTTCATTTTAATATGTTACCACCCAGCCTGTGCTCACAGGCTGCAGCCACAGCAATGCCACCCACTGTGGACTTTCTCTTGTGACCTTTAGCATTGCGGTTGTTCCTTTCTAATCTTTGAATGGCGGTGGAGTGCTAACTTGTTAGCTGAGGTGGATCCATGGTGTTTGTGCACCACAGAGACTCATGGGACACATGAAGAGCTATAAAAAGACTTGACAGTTACACCACAGCGAGGCCTGCTCGGCTTATTTTAAAAACATCCTAAAATCCACAAAACACAACTGAGATGGTTAATGAGTGCAAGGCTACAACGCTAACTGGCACCAGTTTGTTCCAGGTTCCATGTACTGGTAGGTGAACCAGTCAGACCACAGGGCCGGTCTGGTGAGTTAGTCGGGCGACTCACAGATGATGACAATAGTTTTGTAGAATTTTCCGAGTTTTAGGACAAATTTCTTAACGGCTACCGACTGAAGGATAGTTTGTCTGTGCTTCACGTCTGTGAGCCAAGGATTCAATCTAAATGTATTCATATAGGATCAAATCACAACAGCAGTCAGCTCAAGCTGCTTAATGTTGGACCATAGAGATTCTACAGTAACAGGATCTGCAGAGAAAAACCAACAATCATATGACCCCCTATGAGCAGCACTTTGGCGACAGTGGGAAGGAAAAACTTCCTTTTAACAGGAAGAAACCTCCAGCAGAACCAGGCTCAGGGAGGGGCGGGGCCATCTGCTGTGATTGGTTGGGGTGAGAGAAGGAAGACAGGATAAAGACATGCTGTGGAAGAGAGACAGAGGTTAATAACAATAAAGTAATAGCACGGAGCTGTGTGTAAACACAGTGAAAAGGGGTGAGTGAAGACGAAGCAGTGCATCATGGGAGGCCCCAGCAGCTTAGCCTGTTGTAAAGAGGTCGAAGGTCAAAGTCAGCAGCAGTTCGTCTCAGTTGATTATAAAGACAACCAGCTGATTAATCAGTTATAAGAATAATATCAGTTGCACCTTTGCAGTCAGGAAGCGAGCAGCTGTTCAGAGTCTGGCTGCCGTGTGCATAAACACATCAGTGTGTCTGTCGTCACAGGTAAGCTGTTAGTCTGTTACCAGCCTGTTCTGTTTCCTGTGCAGCCTGATCTCATGTCCTCCTTGTGTGCTCGCCACAGGAGAGACAGCGACTAGAGACCATCTTAAACCTCTGTGCTGAGTACAACAAAGGAGAGGGCACCGGCCTGGATCCGCTGTGCTTGGGGAGGTCGGGATTCCCGGGATGTCTGGAGAACGTGCCGGGAGGGACGGCGTCTTCAAGCACGCTCCGCCTAGCACAGAGACAGAGGGAGAGCGACGAGGAGAACCTGAAGGAGGAGTGTAGTAGCACAGAGAGCACTCATCAGGAGGTGAGGACGTCTCCTGCTCCCAGCGCAGCGTCCACACTGCACAATGGAGACAGACAGGTCAGAGGGTTTCACATGCTGTCTCTGCATGCAGCTGCAAATGGTGCGCCTGCTGCATCAGGGTTTCATCCTCACATAGACTCCACTTAGCTTCTCTTTGTAATGTGAAGCAGTGCATCAGCTTTGGCATTGCTCGTGTTTTCCTGTTTGTGACTGGATTCCTGCGCTGGATGCTGCACGAGGCTAGTTTCTTCTGCTTGTGCCTTCAGTTAATTGCCTTCCTTTGTTCTCCATCTTTTATCAGATTTCCTAATGATTACATATTTGAATGAGCGTGGACAGCCTTCTGTGGCGGGATTGATGCTTTATGTTTTCACCCCTCTGTTTCTCTCTGAAGCACGAGGACTCCTCCAGCGCAGGCAGCGGCGGTCGTGCGGAGCTGGGCTACCTGGAGGAAGAGCGGGTCCGTGTCCTGGCTCGGATCGACGAGCTCAAAACCCGGCTCACAGAACTGGAGCAGCAACTCCAAGAGTCCAAACAGGAGGTAGAGCAGTGGATGATGCTGATGGGAATTGGTGACATCCAGCATCTTTTCATAACGTTTCTTCTAAGAACGATGCTCGTCTCAAAGCCCGCTGGACCCACTGTGTGTCGCTGTGCTGTCCTTCCAGGCTGAGATGGAGCGCGCCTTGCTGCAGGGCGAGAGGCAGGCAGAGCTCGACCAGATAGAGACCGAAGCAGATATCATCGCTCAGCTGCAGCACAAGCTGGACGAGCTGGAGAGCGCCATCCAGAGAGAGAAAGACAAGGTACATGAAGCCGTAATCAGGAGGCAGGGCGGACGAGCTGCAGGGTTTATTTCAGTTCACAGAGGTTAAACACACACAGACGCACTCACTGCCTGTGCTTTCAGTCTCCCCTCACTGGGTCATCACTGTCGGTGTTTCTGAGCATCCTTGATTACTGATAGACGTCGTAGAGGATCCATGCTGTGAGGGCTTAATAGAAGGCTTGTTTGCCTCATTCAGTGTCTGCTGTTGCATGTTTCTGCCTTAGGGTTGGTGCTCTCCACAGTCTCACTCAGCTGACTAACCGCCATCGTTAACCCTTGATCCTCCCTCTGCTTCCTCTGCACTCAGAGTGCGCTCTTTCTTCCCCCTCTGATGAAGCAGGCCGGTCTGTAGGTTTTGGTTCTGTAGTGCTCGGTTCTGCTCTGGGCCTTTAATAAGACGTTTGACCAGCAGAGGAGGGAATGTTCGAGCATGTTCTCGATCCTGCAGGTGGCATCTTTGTACTCACATACAGCATTTCACTACAAGGCAGGACGTGCAAAGAAGATACATTTAGTAACTTTGTCGTAGCTAGTTGTAAACTCTGTGTAGAGTCCTCGTGGACCTTTTTCCATGTGCTGCTGCTTCAGCACGGCCAATAACAGCAAGGCTAGTATTTATTGGAAGGGCAGCCAGTTCTCTGCTCAATCACTGCCAGATACATTGTGTGCAAACTTCTGTGCAGCTTATTGATGTTTGAAATATTAAAGTATTTCATATTAGCTGCTGTACCTGCTACTTCCTGTGGACTGCCTTAAAATCTGTGACTGTGTCTGTTGCTAACACCTTACAGCGTTTGATTTGCATGGCGTGGATTTTGAGCAGTGTTTCTGTCTTTCTCTCCTATCGTCCATCCATCCTGTGTGTGGGTGTGTGTCGTGTCTTTCTAGGAGAGGGCTAATGTTGAGGCCGAGCGCCGGGTTCTGCAGAGCCTCCAGGAGGGCTACGCTGAGCTGAAGAACCAGCTTCATAATTGTCCCGAGTCCCTGCGGGAACAGTTGCAGGAACAGCTCAAAAGGGTGGGTCGTCAGTTGATCAGAAGCTCCCATCCATCCTTCCAGCTCCCGACTGTAGTCCATCCCACCCACGACCTTCGCTATTATAGCACCAAATAGTTGGTTTTTCTTTTTAAAGTGGAGTTCATGGGTCTGACTCAGAGACGCATCCTGAGAGATCCAGATTGTTGACATATATTAAAGTAGAGCGTCTGTCTAACTCACGCTGAGGCCAAATCTCGGTAAACCGTCCGGGCGCGCATAATTTGGTCATTTTTGAATCACCGGGGAAAATATATTTCTGCTGGTATCGGTGCTGTAACACCACTCAGCTGCAGACGACGTGTCGCAGGAAAATAACGCTACCTGTTATTAAAAACACCAGCCAAGAAAAGCATGTTCCTCCCAATGTTTAGAATAAAACAACCACAAACCCTAACCAACACTTCGACAGTCCGAGTGCTGATGATTCCGTTTTAATGATAAAGTCTAACCGAGCTAAATATTTGCTAGTGTAGGTTCACTAAAGGTGGACCGTGGGCGCCCACACAGCTGTGGACGCCCAGTCTGTATAACACCAAAGGTTTTGCAGACTTCTAGTTGCAGCAGTGCTGCAGACAGGTGGTTTTTAGGTTTTCAGTAGCTTCCGTGGAAGTGTGCCACACTGGTTTCTGGACTTTTTGAAGCCTCAGTATTAAAGTTTTGGCGTGCGGTTCCTCCCAGGGATGCATTTAGCTCAAACACGGGTCATGTGATACAACCCTCCACTCCACTGCATGTGTGAATCTGATCTGCATCTCTTCTGTCATTCGTCATGGCTCACATAATGCTGCTCACTAATCAATTAACCTAGGCCCCGACCAGATTCCTGCTTCCTCCTTGTGGGAATGTCGCTGCGTCTTTTAGGATCGGGGAGCGTCCATCAGGATAAGTCTTTAGTGAGAACAGCAGGTTTGAGTGTTCATGTTGCACCAGCTCAGCCAGAAAAACCAACGTAGGTTTAAAAGTGCTCCCCAGGTGTGTGAGATCATTTCTGCTGTTAGCTAGCACTTTAGTGAGCATGGCTTTAAAAATACTACATTAATGTCTGAGTTTGTTTGTGAGATCATGATTGGTGTTGTGTGATTAGGATGGAGAGGCACTGGAAGCAGGAACTAAAAAGTTTGAGGACCTGGAGTTTCAGCAGCTGGAGAGAGAGAGCAGCCTGGAGGAAGAGCGAGAAACCATCAGCCAGCAGCTGCTCCAGGAGAGAGCCGAGTACCAGCACAGCGTGGCCAGGAGGAAGGTGAGGACACACCGTCCTGTTGGTGTCCTCTGTGAATGTGTCACACACACGATCACAGTCTGATTGTGTGAATCATTTCTTAAAAATGGATGATTGGCGTAAACTTGTTCCCAGAGAGGCTGACGTAAGAAAAATGCCTGTTTGCACTAGAGTGGTGGCACGCGTCATGTCACCTACGGGCAGGTGCACCACGCGTTAGCACAACCGCAGCACCGACTTTTGTGTCGTCTTGTGTAGGAGAAGGTGTCGGCTCTGGAGAACCAGGCCAACCAGCTCGGCCTGCAGGCAGCTCAGGAGTGTGAGCGGCTGGCTAAAGACCGAACGCTCACACTGCAGATGCTCCAGAAGGTACGCACGAACCACGTCGCACATCGAAATAACCCCAAAGTGTTGTTTTGGCTCCTAATGGCGTGGTTTGATTGTCCAGGAGAAGGAGAGGCTGTCGGCCCTTGAGAGGAGATACCACTTTCTGACTGGAGGAAAGAGCTTCCCCAAGTCCTCCACCGCCATGAGGGAGGTGAGACGCTTTGAGTTTATGCGTTCAGCTTCACTCTGTGTTCATGGCCTGAAAACACAAGGCTCACAGCTGATTGTGCAGTCCAGGTAGTTCTATCATGCTAACAGCACAGCTTATAATACGAGGGCAGCATAAGGACAACATGAAGTTCAGACAGTTGATGGAGAGCCGTCAACCTCATGTCGCTAGTCACTATTCTGCTTAGCAACAATGTGTCCATGTTAGCAGGGCAGCTAATGCTAGCCAGAAGAAACGGTTTCATCACGTCAGCCTCATCCTCGTATGTCGACGTGAAGAATACGAAGCAGTTTGAAATGACTTCTTTAAAAAGCCCAAAATGATTTCATATGAAGGCGACATGAGCAGAGAGCACAAACACGCTGAGGCTGCGTTACTCAGTGACAGACTCACACACTCTGCAGTTTGATAAACACACACACACGGCAGCAGCAGTGCTGCCACGTGTGTGTGTTTGTTCGATGACAGGCTTCGGTTAGTTAAAAACTGTCTTGTTATAGAATATTTGAAAAAAAGCTTCTGGTAAAAACTGCTAGTAACATTTCAGGGCGCTGGCAAGATGGACTTGTGGCCATCGACAATAGAAATGTGCGTAGAAAGGCTCGTCCTGTTATTGTTTGAACCATCCACAGTGAGTCTGAGCTTCAGAGACTCCAGGTCTCTTCTTCCCTCTGCATCTTGTCTCCTTAATGGCAAATAACTGTCCTTGGACTTTCTGTCATATTGTCGTCATCATTGTTTTATGTTATTGTTCTGTTTATTTTTATCCTGCTGCTAAACTAATTTCCCCTGTGGGACCATAAAGGAATAGAAACATTAATAGCAGTGCCTCCTTACAGAGGGGGCTTTGCAGTGTGGGGAGCCTGATGGTCACTAAACCCTTTAACTCTGTAACAGAGAGAAAGCCGCCGCCGCCGCCGCCGCCGCTGTTGTTTCTTCTTCTTTTAACGAAGCCCAGAAACGTTTCTGTAGAGATTAAAAGCTCTTACCTCTGGACTGTCGAAACAGGAAGCGCTCCATATCAGCGAGGCCCACCTGTCGTTGGAGGACTTCCGCTCCCAGCGCTCCCTGTGTCGAGCCTGTCCTTCCTACTTACACCCCTCCCCTCCCTGTCAGTTGTACCCCAGCAGCCCTACAGAGGTAACTGAACTGACCGTGCATGATGCCCTGCTGCCGTGTCGTGGTGACCCTCCAGCTGTAGTGTGCCGCTGCCCGGCCAGTTTGAACCTTTTTATTTTAGCACTGCATCACCTGTGCCGACGTGTGCCTGGTTCATTTATGTGGCGCCGATTCACGGCAGCAGCTGCGCTGTTGCTGTTGTGGCGTGTTTCTGTGCACCTTTCAATGTGACGTGAACGAGCCTGGTTTGCACAGCTGTCACAAAAACCGTGAAGGATTTGTGTACTGGCTCTGCGCCCGTGTGTCCGTGTGTGTGATTGTCCACGTGCTGTGTCTGAGCGGCACCGCGCGGCGCCGTCCTCGCCGCTTCTCATCCTGTCTGTTGTCGGCTGCGGCTCAGGAATACGTGAAGCCGTCGGACGTTTGTAAGATGTACGGCGGCAGCGGCGGCCACCGTGAAAAGCCCGGCTCGCACGCTCGTAGATGCCGTGCTGGCTGGCGCCTGTGAGGTACCATCACTTCCTGTCTTGACTCCAAGTTTATGCTCTCCTATCTGTCGCTCTCCCAGTTCCACGCTGCTCCCTCTGCTGCTCTGTCACAGTGAGGATGCTGCGCAGCTTCGGACTGAGACGTGCAACACAATCAAAACGTGGTTGTTGATGTAATCCTCACAGACTGAACGTAAGCTGTGCTGTTTCATGATGTCACGAGTGACACGTGTTGGACAGAAGCAACTGTTCACCCCAAAAATCTGAAGCAGTATTTATTAATGTGCAGTTTCTGTAACTGCTAATCAAAGATGAATAAAACTCCAGAACGAGGGCAGGATCGTTTAATTTGTAGCGTTAGCTTTGTAAATAATGTGGAACATCTTTATTACGTAACCAAAGGTAACAATTTATGTGAAAACATGATCAAGTCCATTTTAAATATGACTCCAAATGACAACCACGGCGCTTAAACGTGGAGACGGTGTGTCCGCTGAATCACCTGGATAAACCTGGATGTGCTGGGCTGTGTGCATCAGCCTCGCTCTGTCCGACTGTAGCACCTGGTTCTGTGCCGGAGCTGCTGAGCCGGGCTTTAACCCCGCCCACGTGTTGTGTGTTTCCACGAATGCTGTCGTCGTCAGTTTATGATGTGAAAACACAGACTGGAATGAGAACTGCTCCTCCTGCTTCTGCTGCATCTCCCTCCTGTTGCTCTCGCCCTGCTGACCTTCTCCTCTGTCTCCTCTTCTTTTCCTGTGTGTGTGAAGGATTATGTGACAGTGGGCCAGTTAAATCAGATGTATGGGATGCCAAAGGTGGAGTCGTCCCCTACCTCCCCACTTCGCCAGCCCCTGCAGCCCGGAGCAGTAGACCCCACCTTCTCCTGCCTCCCCTCTCCTCATGCCTCCTTCCCCCCTCTCTCATTAGAGGTGTGTGCTGTCTCTCCTCCTCCTGTGGGTTTGTGGCGTGTGACCCCAAAGTAATGGCTGCTTTATTACTTAAGAAATAATAATAGAAGTATAAAGTCGTGTCTAAGTACAAGCTTTGTCCTGATGTTAAGTGAGAAAAGTCTCACAGGGTTTCATTAACAAAAAATCACACATCTTTAGTGGTGTAGTGAAACGGGCTGGACCATCATGTTGTCGTTCTGTACCACACACCGCCCACGGCGCAGAAAGGAAACCACAAATCTGCAGCGTCCTGCGAGCAGCCTGGAACATGGACAGCTTCCTGCCCGTGTTTCCTGTCCGCAGCTCCTTTCAGTCTGTTTAGCCGAGCCTGAGCCTCTGTCTGTTGCGCTGCAGGTTTGCCTGAAGGCGTCATTAAAAGCTGCAGTGGGACAGCTCACTATGTTCATGTAAGCTATCGTATTTATAGCATGTGTGATTCATTTTTCGGAGCAACGAGCTGATCTGCTCGCTCCCACCTGGAGTGAAACGGGAGCGTAAGCGTCGTGTGTCGCTGCTGCGAACCCTCGGCAGTAACGGCAGCTCCGAGTCAGTTCAGGATGACGGTGCCCAGTGACAGCCGGGTTAGTGGGACGATTGCAGCAGGAGCATGGACCTAAACGCAGAACACAGGTTTTTCATCGGGAGGCTAAAAGACAACGTGCCGCGGTGGCTGCAGTCTGTTTCTATTTTAACAGCTTTCAGCGTGTAGGATGCAAACTTTTCTGTCCTGTTCCTACGTCTTTGATGGCTTTCTAACTTCTCATTTTCCCTTCGTCCCTCCTGTTCTCTCTCTGCTGCTTCAGTCTGAAGGCTGCAGGCCTCACCTGTCCAAGCTAGACTTAGAGCAGTGGTACCAGGAGCTGACGGCTGGCTCCAGCCACCTCTGCCCTCCCTCTTTGCCAGCCAGATGTTTGTCGGGCCGCAGGCCTGTGCTGCAGGTACAAGCTTTTTCCTTCCTCCTCGCGCTGCTGCACTCACTGCTGTGCTCTTTCTGTCTGCTGTAACACAACTGCAGTGTGCGTCACCTGATGCTAACCACTGCCTTCAACGAGTAGAAGGACATAGCTGCGTAAGCTAAAAGGATTCTGAAATTTAAAGGAGATGATGGATCAGTAAAAAGAGTTTAAACACGAGCGTTAAATATGTGAAGCATCCAAAACCTCATTAAAATGAAGACGGACAGGAAAGATCAGAAAGTGCAGAAAAATATAAACAGGCTCCTCCTCCTGCTCCTCTTCTTCCTCCTCCTCCTCAGGTGTCAGCTGGTCAGGATATTTAAGGTGGACATTCAAGGTGGAAAGAACTTGGTTAGTGCTGGTTAATTCAATTCAATTCAATTCAATTTTATTTATATAGCGCCAAATCACAACATAAGTCGCCTCAAGGCGCTTCATAGATACAGAGAAAAAAACCCAACAAT